AACATTTTGAGTCTTGCGTGTGATTTATCCTGGCTTCATATGAGCAGAGGAAATCTCTGCTAGTTGCTGGGCTAATTAACACAATATAAAATGCCATAGGCTTGTGCTTATCATCTTAGCATTTTATATTTGTGTGGAAAATGTGTTCAGTATGAGACAGTTGTTCTGTTGGTGAACCTTGTGAGTTGTAATGGAGCCAAATTTTGTAACGTTACCTTTGTTAAATTATGCTGTTGTCCCTGGCTTCATACTGTATGGGCAGAAGAGTTTGCTAGGCTAATTTATACAATGTAAAATGCCATAGGCTTGTGCTAAAAACATTAGCGTGCTGTATTTGTGGGGAAAATGTGTCCAGCAAAAGACAAGTGCTTTGTCTGTGAATGCTCTAAGTTATAGAGAAGCCAATTTGTGTACTTGTGTTTGAAATTGTCACTATTAAAGGGATAGTGCACCCAAAAATGAAAATTCAGCCATTATCTACTCACCCATATGCTGAGGGAGGCTCAGGTGAAGTTTTAGAGTCCTCACATCCCTTGCGGAGATCCAAGGGGAGAGGGGGTAGCAACACAACTCCACCTAATGGAGGCTGGGCGCCCCAGATTCAAACGTCCAAAAACACATAACTGAAACCACAAAATATCTCCATACTGCTCGTCCGTAGTGATCCAAGCCCCGACATAAAAATTTGTTTGGAAAAACGTCATTTGAACTTTTAGCCTCATTGTAGCCTGTAGCTACAATGAGGCTTAAATGACGTTTTTCCAAACAACTTTTTATGTTGGGGCTTCAGGACACTTGGATCACTACGGATGAGCAGTATGGAGATATTTTGTGGTTTCAGTTATGTGCTTTTGGACGTTTTAATCTGGGGCGCCCAGCCTCCATTAGGTGAAGTTGTGTTGCTACCCCCTCTCCCCTTGGATCTCCGTAAATGTTGTGAGGACTCTAAAACTTCACCTGAGCCTCCCTCGGCATGAGGGTGAGTAGATAATGGCTGAATTTTAATTTTTGGGTGCACTATCCCTTTAAGCCATGTTGAAAGTGCTTTTTAGGTGTGTTTTGAATCAACTAAACTTTACAGCACTTCACAGAACCCCCACTGCCAACTATTGTTTTGGAGGTGTAATTGCAGAGTGACACAGACACCACCGCACAAGTATAAATGCTCACAATGACGTAGGCCACTTGCGTAGGCTACAGCATAGGCTCTGCTTAGATCTTAAGGATATACCTGATTAAATAAAGGGTTTATAAACTGAACTTTTGTCACACACTAAAATTGTGTCATCTCTTACTGTGAACATCAGGTCTGCATCAGTTGTTGTTTATGGTAAATCATTGCTGTATGGTAATACAGTTTAAGTGCATATTTCTGCACTGTGTTACCTCATAACAATACAACAATGTTTTGAGTGCTAATGGAGGCTTGGAACTGAAAAAATACATTCTAAACCACAGCAGCATGGTTTGTTAAAGTGGTTAACTGTGATGTACAAGATTTTTAGTAAAGCAAGAGAATACCTTTATAATGCATTTTTAACGACAGAGCAATTAGTGGATGAGCACACCGAGCCGAAGCATCATGTTCCCACAGCAGGTGCACATGAAAGGTGGAGTGAGGTCACACCAGTACACGTGACATGTGACAGACTGTAATAAACAAGTCACCGTGGCTGTCACAAAGTAGGTATAAATAGTGTAATCAACAATTACAGTGCTGAAACTTTCGACTGAAACCTGACATTATCCATGTATTTATCTTTTCTTCTTAAATTGTTGTGCCTTATCTATTGGCAGCATGGCATTACCTTGAAGATTTATGGGACAGATTATTGGAAAAAGTCAAGCATAAAAGGAGATGGGGAAACAGAAAATCAATATCACACTGTAGTTTTTACTCCTTAGAATCTTAAATGTCTGGAGTGTAAAGCTCTGTGATTTATGGCTTCTTTCAACTCTGTTTTTATTCATTCATTCATTCTTTCTTTCTGTCTTTCTTTTATCTATCTGTCTATGTGTGTGTGTGTGTGTGTGTGTGTGTGTGTGTGTGTGTGTGTGTGTGTGTTTGACTCTTGGCCTGCATGACCATGGTCACGTGGTCATCTTTTTCTGAGAGTCACTACTGTAATTGGCTCTCTGTCTGGGCCTGGGAGTCTTAGATAGAAAACAGCCAACACACACACACACACACACACACACACACACGGATAAAAGCAAACTTGAAGGCAGACCTTTTTTCTTCCTCTTCCCCCCCCACTCTTAATGTGTTTAAGTCATTTCAGGCTGGGAGCTCTGCCTCGTAGTTAGTCATTTCCTTCTAGTCTTTCAGGTGACTGGTTGCTTTGTGCTCCAGGTGGAATTGGGGCCTTATCAGCGGCAGGGCAGGAGCCCAGTGGCCACATCACACAGAATACAGCGTTTCCTCCAACCGCATGACTGCCCCACATGATTAAACCCAATCTGACCGGCTGTTGTCTGTGTGTCCGTCCTGTATTTTTGTGTGTGTGTTTGTGAGGGAAGGAAAGAGGGAGAGAGCTTGCAAGTGTTATCTGTCGCTTGAAGTCCAGAAGAGGATGATGAGCATGGCAATGCCAATGACGTGCATTTGTCTCTGATCACAGTGCTTGTGTCTTTGAGTGCTTACAGTGGGGGCATGTAGGTAACGTGTGTAAAAGGGCTTTCACTGCTTCGGGGTTCTTCGCTAAAGCGACAGCAGTTGCTGTTTAAATTTAAATTCCAGTACATCCCACTTGTTTTTAAAAATGAGCACTGGGCTTTTTATGTTTCAAACATCCCCCTAATTTCCACATGATGCTTTTGTACCGGACCGCTGCAGGCTTGCAGGACAAAAGGGGCCAACAATGACCATGTGGGCACAAACATAACCTCCTTCTTTAAAGAACATTGTGCTTCTATCCTATGTGCCCTAAATGACTGTGAATGGTTCAGTGTGTTTTTTTAAACAAGCTTTGGATGAATAAAAAAGGAGAAAAGAAAAGAAAGAGAAGAAATCAATGTTTGTGTCTCTTCAGATAAATGCACGGAGCCAGGCAGTGTAAGGCGGTAAGAGGGTAATCTGTGAAACAACAATACCGTGGGCTGACAGGAGACGCAGTAATCTAGGCTGGACCAGTGCTATCCTTAAACAGTGTGTTCTGTGTCTGAAAGATTACACTGTAAGCTCCGACACCATAATGGTCCTGACACACGCGCATGCACACACACACACACACACACGCACAGAATTGCTTCTGCCTGCCTGGAGCTCCTGCTAGGGTTCCCCTGTTCAGGATGTAGTCTTTACTGAGAGACTTGCTGGCAGAATGCATTGATAGCAATCTGAGGCCTGCTGCCAACAATAAGCAGAGAGGTGGGGAGTGATTGACACTAAAAGATAAATGAGATGCACTATGGAGAATACATGATTAAAGATCAGATAGTGTTTATTCTGTTATTTGTACAGTGTTTGTCCATGCAGTCATGTGTTTATTAGTCCTTCTGTGAATTAATGTTTAGGCAAACACTTTTTAATTGATTTGACTGCAGAATATCAGACTTGACATTATTAACTATTACATTTATTTACAAACTCATCATTTATCATTCATCCCTCTCACTCCCTTCCTTCCTTTCTTTCTCTGTCTGTCTCTCTGTTTTTCTTTCTTTACAGTAATTTCTTCCCCTATTTCCAGCTGTAGCATCTGAGTATTAAAATAGCTCTGATATTTTACGACTGTATCACTGAGCCGAAAACCTTCCCCAAGTCAAACATGAAGCTTTCCTACAGTTTTCTCCCTAAAATCAACTATTTCAATAATGAGGATGTTTTTGTTTTATACAACATTAAAATGACTCGAAACATCCAAGCAGAAACATATAAAGATGAAGATAAAACAAGCTAAAGTTATGTATTGTGAGTATCCTTGACGTCTAACAAATACATCGAGGGCATTTCCATCCTCGTAAAACATCAGCAAGGCCTATTCTTTTGAATTATTTACACCCCGCATTGTTAACATTCATATTTGCTCGCTCGCAGTTTCAGGGTTAGGGTTGATGGTGTGTATCTATTTTTCTTTGTGCGTTGCTGCAACCAGCAGAATAGCAAGAAAACACCAGCAGGAATGTGCATCACATCGCTCATGCGTGTGCACAGTGCAAATAAAACGGGGACCCACTCATAAAAGCATTGCTACAGTGCAAGTAGAGCACTAGTGGTCAATAACGCCACAGGGTAATTTCAGTCTGAAGGTAAAGCAAATTTTTCTCCTTTGTTCACTCAATTTTTTCCACAAGTGGGGCAGCTATGGTGAAATAATCATAACAGTTGTGCATTTTGTAGTAAAGGCAACGCATTTGGCACAGATGTGTGTTGATGTGTTCTGAAAGGATATTAAGACACTGCAAACTTGGCCCCTGTGAGACATGGCAGCCATTGTGAGCAATGGCTATCGACTAGGCTAAGCTGTGTTCGAGCAGAATCAGGTCAGAAGTCAGAAGACCACAGACATGTTTTTTTCCCTCTTCATTTTTAAAGAGTGCTTTTAAAACTTTCAACCTGAGAAAAATGTGAAAAGCAAATAAAAGGAGCATGGATATTTCAAGGTCAAACTTCACCCAGTTGCCTTTATGCTAGAATGACGACCGAGGAACTGCAGAGTCCTCAGCTTTCCAACAGTGCATTTCTCACAGCAACTTGAGTTTGTTCTTTCAAATGAAATGAACATTTTTTCACTCAAGTTTGAGACACAATCAGCTGGGGCAGACGCCTTTGTCTAAACTCATGTTCTCATCCACTTTGTGTGCAAGCATGCTGCCTCTAAAATTCATATTCAGTCTGAAGACAGTTACCTAAATCTGCTCCTGAGAGAAAGTCTTTGTCTGTACCATCCTTTTTGTCTGCGTCCAGTTTGATTTGTTCTCCGATAGTCTATAGATTTTAGTATCCTCACTGCTTCCTTCTTTCTAATGATGATTTGTCTGTCCGTCTCCTCTAACAGTTCGAGGCATATGTGTACGAGGGCTCGACAGGTGTGGTGGTCAACCTGACAGTAGACGACAGGGACGACCCAGACACGGGGGCATGGAGAGCGATTTACTCTATAATTAACGGAGATCCCACGCTGAGCTTTGAGATCCAAACCAACCCAGACAATAACGAGGGCATGCTGTCTGTCATCAAGGTATACAAAACTATCCACCCAATGCATTCAAATGCTACAGCTAGTAACATTATTACCCTTTCCTTACATTCCATTATTTTCTCCCTTCAGCCTCTGGACTATGAGGCCACAGCATTCCACACGCTACTCATCAAAGTGGAGAATGAGGATGCTCTGGTTCCTGATGTAGGCTATGGCCCCAGCTCTACAGCCACTGTACACGTCACAGTCCTGGACATCAACGAGGGCCCCGTCTTCTTCCCCGACCCCCTGACAGTCACCAGGATGGAAAACATTCCTTTGGGCAGTTTTGTGGCCTCACTCAATGCCACAGATCCAGATATATTACAGACACAGAGCGTCAGGTAAGGAGCCGGGGATAAAATCAAGTGGAAAACAGCCAGAGTTGAAGTGAGACTGATTGAAATCGAGCTGCAACACTGTACTTGTCTTGTGCATAAGAAAATGAGAAGGTAGACAGAGTGGCAGAGAGTTTGATTGTGTTGTGCGATTGACTGACTTCGGCTGTAGCTCGCAAGCTTAGTATTGTCGGTAATAAGCTGTCTGATATTCATTTAGTTTCACTCTGTTCAGCTGAGCAACATAATCAAGTATGGTTTGCTAATGGGACCCTTTGAGAAGCACTTAAAGTTTTCTCTCATAAGGGCAGTTCACTTATGTCAGTAAGCTTTCAGATATGTTTATCTCTTTCATCTGATTCCCATCACCTCCATCCATCCATCCCCATTGTTTTGTTTGCCTGTTAGGGCTGCTTTATCTGTCTGTGTTGTGTAAACAGATGAGAGATATTGCTCCGGCAATCGACAGTTTACTGGCACAGGTCAAACCATTCACCCTATCAACTGGAAAGTCAGAGAGTGGGGCAGCTCATTAACTTTAACTATGTTACAGAAAAAAACCCTCTTCCTTAAATATTACCATCATCATAACAGGAAGGCTATTAGTTTCACTATGTGCTACAATAAAAATCATTCCTCTTGCTGCCAGAGGGAGCCCCATAGCGTGTGCTGTGCTTCCTTTTACAAGATGGAAAACTCATCATTGCATTTATTGGCTTTCAGGCCTAATTTGTACTCAATTTAGACTGCTCTCTTTCTGCACCCTTAGAGTTATATATCATGTAAAAAATAGTGTTAAATAAACACATGGGGATAATAAAGATCCAAGGAAATAAAACTCAGCAGATCGTGACTTTAATGCTCAAATTATTGACGCTGCTTTATGTGCTGTAAAAGGTAGACACCGTGTCAGTATCAAATGCTACATAACGTGAAGTTGTTCAGCTGAATGTTGTATAGGAGTCAGGGCCTGAGCCCATAAAGCTTTGCCAAGCGGCGGTCTGAGATCACAAGTCAGGTCACATGACCGTATAAATCTCAAAAAGTCTGAAAGCACAAACCAGTCTCTGAATACATATTTTTTTCAGTAGTGCCAGCACACTACTGGAATACTTAAATCAAAGGGCAGTTTTTGTTTTGCTATGGGTTTCTGGGAAGATCAAGAAACATGCTCTATTGAACACTACCTTAGGCCATAAGCTTACTTTAAATCTATATTTAGTAGTTTCACATGATTGGCTGAAGTCTAGCAGTATTTTGGTGGTTGCCTTTATTGATTTAACCTTGACAGTCATGATAATATTAGTCAATGGCCATAATTTAATTTAAAATCCAAACAAACTTTGCACATCAAAGCAACCAGAAATGGAGGAAAAATGTAGATTAAGAAAATATTTAAAGTATAGATCAAAGCCAACCAGAAGTCACAACTGAAGCACACTTCTTTACAGTACCTGAAATATGCTCAGTTTAACTAAACTAACAGCCGTGCTAGCAGCTCTGTGAGTCTGTTCATAGGTACACCTGTGTTTTGTGGTAAATGCTAATAACAGTGCTCAAATGTTAAACAGCACGGTAAGACCACCTTGATTACCTGAGCTCAACATTTTGTTTTGCTCTGTGTATCAGTCTGGACCCGCTACTGCCCCAAACACATTCAGTGGGCTGGTGTACTCCCCGTGACACACAAACTCCTCCAGCTAATCAGCATAACAAAACAACACATCTTCATCACCAGCAGAGCCAGTTGATAAATCAAGTTTTTGTCAAATCCAGTCAAAAAAACTGAGAAAACATCTTTCCCTCTGAGAAATTCTGCCTGTGCATACTCTCATTATTGTTTGATTATTGTTATTGACCCTATTTCTGTGATAAATTCAGTTATTGCTGTGTTTACTTTTCTAACGTTAGAGTTAGCGCTTGTTGCTTCGGGTGCCTCCATTACTGTTCTGCAAGCTGCAGCCTGCATTTTACGTCATCAACTACGCCCCAGTCCCTGATTGGCCCCAGTTAGATTTTAATTTCTTGAGAGTGTTTGGGATGGCAGCAAATCAAACTGATAAAGAAAGTGAAACAGAATGTTAAGCTCACGTCATCATGATGGTCTCACCAAGCGAATAATGTTTGCCATGTTCACCACCCTAGTTTAGGTTGTCAGCATGCTAACATTTGCTAATTTGTACAGCTGAGGGTGATGGGAACGCCATTAGTTTTTGCAGGTATTTGGTCATAAAAACATACTATTGGATATTTAAATTTTTGACCTGATGATGATGCTGGATGAAAAGCTAAAGTCTGCTTCCACTCAAAAACATGTTTTACTTAGGCTTTTACTGTTTTACTTGACTTATATACTGACTCGTATTTTTCACTAGAGAGATGTTATTACATTTCTCTCCTGAAGGGGGCGATGTCTTTGCACTTTCCTATAATCTGAGAATCAAAAGTACATTGGGCATGCTAGATTATGTATGTCACTAATACGAAAGCCTATTGAAAACTGAAAACTCCAGCACAGAGAAGACCTGTCAACAAGAGAGCAGAGTTAGCATTAGCCTAGTGAAATTTTGTCAGCAAACATGGTACAGTTTGCAGTTTTTGGATATAAACCGGATCCTGCAGCATGCTTCCACTATCTACCAAAAACCCCATTGTTGTAGATATTATTGTTTATTTCACAACAACTAACTCCGTGTCAGTCACTGCCAGTTAGCCTACAAGCTAACAAGCTAACAAACCACATAAATAGAAGATGCTAACTACACTTACTAATCTGAATCTGGATCTGACTGAGGCTCCAACATTTATGACTGAATCTCTCTGATGTTTCTTCCAATACTTACATTAGCCATCTTGATGCACGCTGCTCTTTTACCTGGCATGAGCAGCGCTGGAGAAAGTGGAAAGAGAAAGCAAAACTTACTGCAAGCAAATTTCTCAATAAGGAAGAAAGAGTTGATCTGCTTCCAGCCTTTTTTCAGAGTTTATTTTTTAATTATGTGGAAAAACCATGTTACACAAAATACTTGTATCAATATTTCACTTAAAAATGTGTCTTGAGGGGAAATTTTGAGGATCATCAAATTTGTAACTGCTCATCCTGAGGGGATCTATCCAGTTGTTGAATCATTTCACTTGAAACCAAAATGTCAACCTCACGTTGGCACTAGGGGGAAAGTCGGGTGATCAGGATTCATTGGTGGGCACCATAGATATTTGTACCAAATTCATGATAATCCGTCCAATATCTAGACAGATATATAAAAAACTACAAACCAAGATGCCTTTTTCACTGATTTCATCCGACTATCCAGGAGTGAAAGTTTTTCACCAAACCAAATATAAAGTAGAAAACCAATCAATCAATCAATCAATTTTATTTATAAAGCCCAATATCACAAATCACAATTTGCCTCACAGTTTTACAGTTTTAACAATTTTATATTTGTTTTTCCTCATTCAGACTTAACAGATGTTGGTCTTCAGTAACACATTTACCACATCCTACTGCTCCGGCATTGCACTGCAATTGAAAAACACCCCACTGATGCAAGACTAAACATTTAATAGTATGCTGTCATTGAACAACACTTTAAAAAGATGAATTTCTACATGACTCACTCAGGTTAGGTTAGGAGGTTGAATAGTTGGTTGTCTCTTTCCGACACAGTCTTTTTTTATATTTGCATTTGAATATTTAAGCTATACTGATAACTTAAAAGCATTCTCCAAAGATTCTGGTGACATTTTATCTATCTATAGCCACCGAGAGCTCTGTGTTTATGACATCTCCTTTGCATCTTTTACTGATCTTCCGAGTCATATACCTGCGTCTTTCTAACTTCATACTTGCTGCTGTGCTCCTCTCATCTGCAGCATACATTTCTGTATTTTTCTTCATGGCCTCTGTGTTTGTTGTCATTCCATCCTCTGACATTTTGCCAGTAACGGTGACTTTGAAGTGTCATAACTCCGACCTGCAGACAGGTTGAGGACATTGTGAAAGACAGACAGTTGGAGAGGTGGAAATAGAGAGAGAGCATGCACAGAATGAAATGGCAAAAAAAAGGAGGGTATCTGTTTACCTTCCTCTCTCCTTCCATGTCTCTCTCTGCACGGTGGAGGTGTGTTTATTTGTGTGTGTGTATGTGTGTGTGTGTCTGCCCCTTGGGATGCTAAGGTCAAATGCATTTGACATGGAACACAATCGGTGTGACTCTCTGGTCAGAGATAGCAGCAGACAGTGCCCAACACACACACACGCATGATCCTATGTGGATATTTGTGAAGACTGCATTGATTCTGTAACAACAGGAATAACGCACATACAAAAACATCTATTGGCATTACATTGAGAAGGTAAGCCCTATTTGCACAGGACTGTTGTAACCTGGGGTCCTCCTGTGATTTATAATAATTGCATCAGCCATCAGTTTTCTTAAACCTTTGCAGTTCGACCCAGAGCCAACTCAGGCCCCATTCAGACAGGATTAAAATTCCAGTGGGAGATGTGAAAGGAAATATTTGCCATGCTTTAGCTAAATTTATAATTACAGGTGGCATTTAATTGCCAGTGCCAGATTGCACTTGGTTCATCATTTACTCCACAGAAAAACTGCGAAGCTCGTCAGTAGCTTAGCTGAATGAACTCAGTGAAAACGCACAAAAATTGTGAGATACATTTACACATGCACAATACAAGAGATTTGCTAAGATGGGATGTTTAAAAATGGCGGTAAAAGTCACAGGGCATCTTCATCTTCTGTAATGTGACACAATTGCAAGTGAAAAGCAATGTATGAAACAAGCATAGCTACAAGAGGGATTTAAATCAAATCCTTAAGATGTGATAGGATCCTTCAAATGGCATGGCTTATACAATGTGGCTGTGCATACAGAGCTGTAGAGGACAGTTGACCATCACCCACACCTCCATACCTCCCCTCACCCACATTTGTTAGATAGGCAGAAGAAAGACGAACTAATAAGCCACACTGACCAAATAC